CAGCCTCAGCGAGGCACGTGTGCGGTGGGCGTGGCTCTCACCTTGTAATGGCGCAGCAGCTGGCGGCAGGGCGCCGGACTGTCCTGGTACAGGTGAGTCAGCGTCATCATGCCCAACTTCTCCGCCAGTTTCTTCCAGGGGACGTCGCCGACGCTCAGCACGTCCACGAGCCGCGACAGCGTGTCCTCGTCGAGCCCCGCGCGCTCCCCCTCTGTGGCGGCATCGCAGCGTCACGTTAGCTTGTTTTTAGTAACATCTGAAAGGCGATCAGCTAAAAAGAGAAAAGCGACGAACCTTCAGCGCTGCTGGTCGTCGGTCTGATGTTCCCGCCGCCGCGCCGATCCGACTTCGGGCTCTTAGATGGCGACAGCACTTTCCTGACCTGCAGAGGTGATGTAGCCACACACAGCTGTTAGCGTCCTCACAAACCGACGTTCAGAAAACGCCACCTGAGCGTGTACTCTGATTACTCTGAATCGATTACCCAGCTGTTGGTCGATCACATCTGTCGTCTCTACATCTGGAAAAGATGCTTTTATTTTGAAAGTACAACTTACCTTTTGGCATTTAGCCAGGTCCAGGGGGGTGTGGCCTCCCGCAGGTCTCTTGCGGGGATTGGATGTCTTTGGGGCGAGCTCTCGCTCTTTCTCTTCTTCTCTGATTGGTTCATCTTCATCGTCTGAGGAGGAGGAGCTGAAGAAGAGCGGCTCGTCGTTCTCGATGGACTTATCAGCACCTGAGGAACACCACCTTTAATCACCTGCTCGTTAAACGTGGCTCCGCCTCCCCATGTGTGCGCGTCTCACCTGCAGCGATGAGCATGGAGCAGAAGGTCGGCGAGCTGAGGCTCGCGGCCAGGTGGAGCGGCGTGTTTCCTCCAAACGTGCAGGCGTTAACGTCAGCGCGGAGCTGGAAACACAAAGACGTTGATGACATCAGAGTCACGCTGCAGGTTGATGTAAACAAGCTCCGCCCCCTGCTGTGTCGTTACCTCGGTGATGAGCAGGCAGGCCACCTTGAACAGGTTTTCTCTGACGGCCAGGTGGAGGGGGGTGTTCCCGCTCTTCTGCTCAGGCTCGTTTATTTTGGCTCCGCCCTCCACCAGCAGACGCAGGCAGCGCTCGCCGTCCCTCCTCACGGCCAGGTGAAGCGGGTGGAGGCCTGACGGAGAAACGTTTCGGTTACTTTCAGCCTTTTATATTTCTGTGGGGGTGTGTGTGTGAGGGGGGGCGTCCTCTCACCGTGGAAATCGGGCATGTTGACCAGGTGGGCGTGGCATTCTCCCAGGTGAGCCAGCAGGAAGCGAAGAATGTTGTGGTCCCCGGCCAGCGCCGCCAGGTGGAGGGGGGTGCGGCCATCTTTGTCCACCAGGCTGGGGTCAGCCCCCGCCTTCAGCAGCACCTCCACCACCTTCACCTGCCGCGTGATCACCGCCAGGTGCAGGGGAGTCTGAGGAGGAGGAGTCAGGGTCACGTGATGAGCATGTTTGCAGCTTCCTGCAGCGCCCTAACCTGCCCGACAGGTGTGTGCGCCGCTGCGATCAGAGC